AAAACAATAAAAAAGAATATATTTATTAAGAAAATAAGAATAATTTATGTTATAAAATAAAAATATATATATATAAATATTAAATTAAAAATATATATATATATATAAAATATCCAAACTACAACATTCCTTATTAATATTAGGGAATAAATTGTGAAGTAGTTTGACTAAAACAATAAAAAAGAATATATTTATTAAGAAAATAAGAATAATTTATGTTATAAAATAAAAATATATATATAAAATATATAAAATATATATATAAATATATATATAAAACTACAACAATCCTTATTAATATTAGGGAAAGTTGTGAAGTGGTTTGACCAAAACAGTAAAAAAGAATATATTTATTAAGAAAATAGAAATAAACTATGTTATATAAAAAAATATATAAAATATCCAAACCACAACACCCTTTATTAATATTAAAAAATAAATAAATTGTGAAGTAGTTCGACCAAACAGTAAAAAAGAATATATTTAATAAAGAAAATAAGAATAAACCGCGTTACGTAGATGTGAATCGTGCCGGTGCCTTCGTTCGACTGTCCCGAGTTCGCTGTGTCGCGTCGAAACGGAGAAATCAAAATAGAAACATCGATCGCGTCCAATGACACATTCGATTCGCGTATAAATATATTCCGTATATAAATATACGCACTTTTACGCACACGTATATATATATCGAATTTATATATACATAAACTCGACAATCGTCGTTTAAAAATCAAAATAACAAACCTTGGCTCAACTCTTTCCATTCCATTGAAACTCGAATCTTATTCTCTTTTTATCTTCCTCGATAAAAAAGATGCTTACTCGTCACGCGCGATATTCGACAAAACAAAAAAACAAAGAAAGAGAGAGAGAGAGAGAGAGAGAAAATTTCAAAATATTTTCAACCAACTCGAAAAATTGAATTCCAATTCTACTAATTTAGAGGAACACTGTCGAATCGAACGCTCTCTCCCCCCTACCAAAAATAGGAGGAGAGGGCGCGAGATTCCGGGAGACCCCCAGAGACTCGAGAACAACCCCCTCTCCCTCCTCCCTCCCTCTCTCTCTCTCTCTCTCTCTCTCTCGTTTGTTTTTCGCTGCTCGTGACACCCTGGCCGCCACCCTTGCGGCCGAAAAAGAAATCGCGCGTTTGATGTCGCCGCCAAAGGGAGGGCGCGCGCGTGCACGTGCATGAAAGAGAGGGAAACAGGGGGAGAGGATGGAAATGCGCGAGGAATGGAGAAAGAGAGAGAGAGAGAAGGGGGGACGTTGCGTCGGTCGAGTTACAATTTCGCGCGGGTTGGTCGGCTGCGACCGCGCTTCCACCACCCTCCCCCCTCCGTCTGTGTCCTTCGGTTAAACGTAACAATTATTACCGGAAAAGCGGTGCACACGCATGCGGGAAACCGCGGCGGGACCCGGAATTACATTGATATTAGTATCGTTTCGCCCGACGGATTAATTAATTAAAACGCCGCTATTCCACCTCCGCTATTCATACGTGTATATCTGTACAAATATCTGTACAAATCCTTGTCTGGATTTCTCTTAGAGAAAGGTTGCGTTAAGGTTGGCGCGAATTTTGAATTTTCGATCGCAGTTCGTGAATCGTATATCGTTGGGAGGATGGGATAAGGTAAATTTTTAAAGATTGGGGAATTTTAATTGCAATTGGTTAACACGATGAAGCGAAACATTTTCGTTCTGGATTGGATACGTTTTTCTCTGTTGATTAGATTAGTTTTTTATCGATCTGATGAAGTTGTTGAAGATGTTGTAATTATTTCAATTATTTTAATTTTAAATATGAAAATGGTCATTGGTGAAAAGAAGTCTCGCAGGACGAGGAATTCTGGCAAGATACATTAGAAAATCTAGTAAGAATTATTTTCATTTGTGAAGTTAGGATAGGAATATTTTCGAAATTATTAGTGATTTCGATTATCTAACTTATTGAGTACAATTATTGTCTCGAATACTATTGATACGTTAGAATAATTTGAATTTCTTATGCCTACGCTAATGCATTAGAGATTTAGATACAGATCGTCGTTTTATTGCCTCTCACAAGTCGGATTAGTATATTAACGAGAACTATCACGCTAGAAAGAAATATGCGTGAAATTTCTTTCTCCTTCTTTTCATTTAAATATTTATGATTTAATTGATAATCATTTAGCTCATTATATAGTTTCTAATAGTTCAATTTTCTAACATTTGATTCAATTTTTTATTGAAACTAAAAGTTTAGTTTATTATCGAATTCTTTCGACAATTTCTAAAATACTTGGATTTCCTCTCAACTTTCAAAATCCAAATCACTTCCAGTGATGGGCAAAATTTAATAATTCAAGTCACTTCGATATAATCGTGATTATATGATAACAACTATTGAATAAGTAATCACTTAAACTAACATCATTCGAAATCTTTAACTAGATACTTTTTCAACGAGGGGTTAATATGCCATCAGTGATGGATAAAATTTAATAATTGAAATTACTTCGATAATTTATCGTTCAAAACATAATAACAATCGTGAAAAGCGGATTAATTATAATATATCTACGAATAAATGTTATTTATATATATTCGTATAACATTTTAATAAACANTAAATGTTATTCGATAACATTTTAATAAACTAACCTTATACTAATTATATTTTCAACTAGTTATTTTTCCAAGAGAAATTAATGCTCAACTATGCCGCCAATCATAAGCTACGAATAAATGTTATTCATATATATTCGTATAACATTTTAATAAACG